CCACTGTTCAGGGCTTCACTTTGCTGCTGCTGTGCCAGTAGACAGGTGGGCCTCTGCCCAAGCTTGTAATAAAGACCCTTTTGTTCTTGCATCGGTGCCGGCTCCTTGGAGGTCTCTGGGGGACTCGCGATTCGGGCATAACACCCTAAACAGACTGTTAACTGCAGGATTCATGCAATACCTCTCGAAGCCTCTGGCCAGCTGCCAACCTGCCCTCCCACCACCTGCCTGTCTCTTTGTCCAGGTGAGACCATCAGCCTAGAGCTTACATGTGTCCAAGTACAAACTGCTCCTGACTTGGGCAGGACATGTTGAGACTCAAATCGGAGGCTATCAATCTCAGCCTTACACTTAAAAGCCTCAAGCAGTGAACATGGGAGATCCTGTTCCTCTTTGGGAGCAAAGCAAGGCTTCCCCCCCCCCCCCCTTGGTAACTTTATGTGTGTCCCTGAAATGACTGCCAGCAGGCCATAGCCCAGGGGAGGCCAGGTTGTGGGAGGCTGCATAAGCCTGTCTTTCTAACAGCTACTTGGTAGGCCCCCTGTCCCTTCAGATTTCCACTTCTGAAAATGCTTTGATCTTAGCATATCTGGCTCCTTATGTGTGTCCCTGGGCTGAGCCCCCAGCAGCTTCCTCTGAACCCTCATTGAAGAAGGACAAGTAACCCAGCCTTCCCCACAGCACGTCCATGGACATTCAGATCTTTCATAACACTCCCTGCTCTGCCTTCCTCTCCGGGCCAGTTCCAGCTCCCCTGAAAATCAGTAAGATGCCCTGAAAGATGAAGGATTGTCCCCTGAGCCCAAATAATCAGTGAGACCCCAAGGAATCCAGATTCATTAAACAAACCAACAAGCAAACCAGCTCCCTTTTCAGAAGCACCGAGCTAGGGCAGAATGAGCAGTGGCTGGGGAGTCCTGAAAGCTGGGTTGCTGTCTTGACACTGGCTCTGCCACTAACTAGCTCTGTGGCCCTGAGCTTAATTCCATGGTTTTCACCCACCTCCTTTAAAAGTGGCTGGGAACTGGCAGAGTTGGTGGAATGCACAAGGTGAAAACAACTAATAATTTTAGAGTTGGCAAAAGACATCCAGCCATAACATTTCCTCATGCAGCTGAAATGGAGATCCCAGTGGCTTTTTGCCAACTTTACTACCATAGCAGTCTTTTTCTTTTAATTAAAAAAATTTTTTTCAATGTTTATTTATTTGAGAGAGAGAAAGAGAGAACACAAGCAGGGAAGGGACAGAGGGGGAGACACAGAATCTGAAGCAGGCTCTAGACTGTGTCAGCAAAGAGCCCAACACACGAACTCACATACCGTGAGATTATGACCTGAGGTGAAGTTGGACACTTAACCAACTGAGCCACCCAGGTGCCCCCCACCCCGCCAATAATCTTGTTAAAACACAAAATCTAGTTCTGGTGGGCCCGGGTGGCTCAGTTGGTTAAGCATCCAACTCTTGATTTCAGCTTAGGTCAGGATCCCATGGTTTGCGGGATCAGGCCCCACACTGGGCTCTACGCTGACAGCGTGGATTGGGATTCTCTCTCCCTCTCTCTCTGCCCCTCCCCACTTGTGTGAGCATATGCATGCTCTCTCTCTCTCTCAAAACTAATAAACAGTAAAAAATAATAATTAATAAAACACAAATCTAGTGCAGTGCCTGTGCTGTTCACCCCTCTCCCCACCAAAAACGTGAAAATGGCTTTTCATAAGTCCTAAAATAATGACCACAGTCCTCTCCCTACCAGGCCTTGCAGAGAGAGCTTCACCTCAAACCACTGTCTCTGTCTCTCTACCCTTCCTTACACTGCTCTTTTCATTTCCCCGCACTCACTAAGCTTCCTTCCAATTCAAGTTTCTTAACACCCACTTCTCTCACTATGGAAGGTTCATTACTCTACCTCCCCTCCCCATTCTACCTGGCTAAACTCTGTAGGTTCCTTCTTTCCTCAGACAAACCTTCCCAGAAACCCCAGAGTAAATAAACAGCCTCTCTTTTGCTTGCATAGTAATCTATATTTGACTTTCTGGCCCTTATCACTAGTGCAATAAATTAATCCCGTTTTTTTTTTTTTTTTTTTTTTTTAATTATCTGGTTGTTTCATGAAGGAAGAAACCAGATCTGTCTGGTTCCCTGCAGTAGTCTCTGTCCCAAGCACAGTGCCTGGAATATAAGAGATGTTGAACAAATGTTTGCTCAATAAATGTTTAGTAAATATTGATTTAATGGACAAATGCATGAGTGAATGACCTAAAAGATTTTGCTCTTTTAATGATAGTATCAAAGAGCTATTCTATGTAAAACTCAGTAGTCCTTTTTGATACTTCTGGCAGAACCCTGCAGCACCACATGGACATAAGATCAGAAAGATCATGGAGCACCTAGGTGGCTCAGTCGTAAGCGTCTGACTTCAGCTCAGGTCACAATATCACTGTTTGTGGGTTTGAGCCCCGCATCAGGCTCTGCGCTGACAGCTCAGAGCCTCAAGACTGCTTCAGATTCTGTATCTCTTTCTCTCTGCCCTTCCCCTGCTTGCACTCTCTTTCTCAAAAATAAAACATTAAAAAGATCAATGAAAAGAAAGAAAGTGTTGATTCACCTCTAGTTTCTACTCAAAGCTAAGATTCTCTCTCTGAACCACTCACTTTAGCTGTTAAAGACCAACTCCAGAGTTTTGCTAATAGTGCTGGCTCAATTTTCTGCTTCCCCTCCAGATCTGAGGGTTGCCATCCATCTTAACAAATCACTCAGTTTAATAGCATGAGCACCATCTCCCTGGACAATAAGCTTGTCTTCCCGAAAAGCTCATCTTCCCTATAAGCTCCACCTTCATATCATACACAGAGAATGATCAGTAAAAAGTAGTGTGGTCCCCAGAAATTAACTTTTAATTTACTGTCTCTCCTTTAAAGACCTTGACAAAGATCCATGACAGTACCTGTTGTGCCCACGAGGGGGCAGATGCCAGTTTGCATTGGTAGCTCCTGAAAGCAGAGACCTTGCCTATCCTATTACATGCAGGTTTTGTTACCAACAGAGGTTCTCACCCTCTGTTTCATAAATCCTGCCAGCATGCTAGCACTGTCTCCTCAGGACCCATGTTCACAGTGATCCCTCATTGCGAAACCTGGTCTTATGAGGTCGATAAAGACTGCTTGGCTATACAGTTCCTTCCCTAATCTTAGTTTTCTTCTTCCTCTCTGGTGTTCCTACTGTGAACTTTTGTTCCTCATCTTATCAAATGAATTATGTTAACACCCTGATATGTGCAACCCTGCAACCCTGAATACTATCTGGTTAAGAAGTTGCTGAAAATTATAAAGCCTAAAGCACCCTGTATTTAAGCAGCTCTGACTGGAGCAAGTTTGCAACAGGAATCAATGGCATTGATACCCTATTTACAGCTTCCGGGAGCCTATTCTGTGCCTTCCTTTATGTCCAGTTTGAAGAAACTTTCAATACTTCTTTAAAATATTGACAGGGCCATACTGTAGTCCAAAAAGAGGGCTGCCACAGAATATTTTCCAGCCATGTCCCGATGATGGTACGTCCCCCACTCTGCAAGGGCCTGCTCTCTATTCCAGCCCTGAAAACCTCCATGCTCCCATCTCCCCTGGTGCAAAAGGATCTGGCATTCCTTAAAAGCCTGTATAACACTGTGATTTAAAACAATGCATGCAACTCATTAACCAACTATTTATCGAGTATCTATTAGGTGCTAGGAACTGTTCCAGTTTCTGAGACGTCAGCAGTAAAAAAAAAAAAAAAAAAAACCAGAACAAAACCTGTTCACATGGAGTTTGCAGTCTAGTGGGGGGTGGGGAGTGGGGTGGAAGGAGAATTAAGAAAAGCAACAGCAGCAGCAGCCAAAATCATGTGGTAAGTGCAAACAGGGTGTGCAAAATTAGAGAATGGAGACAGAGAACAAAGGAAGTGGGACCTCATGTTGGGTGGTCGGAGAAGTCCTCTCTGATAGGTAACATCTGCACAGGGATCTTAAAAGCAGGGAAGAACTGAGCTATGCAGGCAGGAAGAAGATAAGACTCAAGAGAGAGAGAAAGGCATGTGCCAAGGCACTGAGGTGGGACTTCCTAAGGTGCTCAGGAGGCTAATGTAGTTGGAATGCAGCCACCAAAGAGAGTGAGCTGTAGAAGATGAGGTCAGTGAAATGAGGGGAAGCCAAGAATCAGCAAAATCATGTAGAGATTTTTTTAAGCAATGGCAAGGAGCTTTGATTTTATGTTGAATGAAATGAGATACACAGAGGGTTTTAAGCAAAGCAATGACCAGCTCTGACCTAGGTTCCAACAAGAGTATTCTGTCTGCTCTTTTGAAAATGGACTGAAGGGGCACAAGGGCCAACCAGAGAGACCTGCTCAGGGGCCATTACAACAGCACAGTAAGAAATGGTGGTGGCTTATACTACAGTGGTGGTGGTGGAGGTGGGGAGAAGTGTTTGGATTCTGGAAATACTCTGTGCAGCCAACATCGCTTAAGGACTGAATGTGAGAGTGCTAAATAATCTTGGATTGGTTGCAAGATTATTTTGCAGTTCTTCCAAATGTTGAAGGGGTACCAAATGTTAAATACTCAGGGGAGAAGCCAAGATGGCAGAACAGCATGGAAGTTTTTCTTGTGTCTCCTGTCCATGAAACGCAGCCAGATCAACACGAAACGATCCTGCACACCTAGAAAACTGATTTGAGGCTTAACACAACAATCTGCACAACCGGAACCACAGAACTCAGCAGGTACACAGCACGGAGAGGTGAACTGGGGGAGAGAGAAGCCGCAGAGGGCAGGGAGCTGTTTTTACTTGTGGAAAGAGGGCGACGGGGAGAGCACGGGAAAAGCATCCCCCGCTCCCCAAAGCAGCTGGAAGAAAAGTGGAAAAGTGGAAACCGCCGCAGGGACTTAACTAAAAAGGGAGCTAGGAGAGGGTTTAAATTCCATTAAGACTCTATAAACAACGGGGACCACAGAGTATAAATACCTGGCGGTGAGAAGGGCGAATCCTCAGGAGCAGAGTCAAGTCCAGGGGGTCTTCCCGCCACACGGGGAGAGGCAGTTCCCCTGCTGGGAGGACATCTGGTAGAGGCTGAGCGGCCACCCGATCCCAGCAGACCCCAGAGAACCACCACATTCACTGGGGCTGGAACAAGTTCCTTAAGGGTGAAGCCTGGTGCCAGCTGCCTGTTGTGGTTTTCCATGATCCCTGAAACGCTGCTGCTACACAATAATGTAAACATTTTTCAGGGGCGAGCTGGCGCCCAGCCGCAGTCTCTGAGCATTGGCAGCAGCACGGTCCTGCAAACATTCCTGGGTGTGGCCAGCACCCGGCCATTGCTCGGTGAGACCCTCCCGTAGAGAGGCAGAACGGGTCAAAGCCTCGTCTCTCAGAAGTAAGGGGTTGGGGAAAACAGCCACATCTGACATGAAACTGGGACGGAGGTGCCGCCTGGCAACCTGACGTCTTGGTCACCGATAGTGTAAAAGCAGGTAATGACGGAAGCTGCAGACAAAGGACATATGCGCAATTGCTGCTGGGGGCGAACAGAGTTTTGACAGGAGACAGAGCCAGGTGACGCCATTTTCATCTCCCCCGAGCATGCGCATACACACCTACAGGCACCACAACGATCCACCCCCCCCCCCGTAAGCTAAACTGCGCCATCTAGTGGAGAATGGAGCCCTTACACTAAGCCCGGCCCAACTGGGCCAACCTCTCTCTTCAGGAACATCACGAGTCTCCCCACCTGCTCATCTTCAGGAACACCACAAGTCTCTCCACCTGCTTAGTTTACAGACCATAAAGTGCTTCATACTTTGACTTGAAAGGGTAAATGATGTAATTTCAGTCATATTTCAGTCTGTTTACTGGTCCATCTATTCAATTTTTTTTCTTTTTCATTTCTTTTTCTTGAATACAGAAAGAAAAAATTTATTTTTATTTTCAATTTTTATTAAAATTATTTTAATTTTTTCTACTATATTTTTTATTTCTCTATAAAATTTTCAAATTCTATTATACTTTACCATTTCATTTTATTCTATTTCATTATATTCATTTTTCTCAAATTTTCAAACGTTTTCTTTTTTTTTTCTTTTGCCCCTTTTTTCTCTAATCTATCAAGCTCCTTTCAAAACCCAGACCAAAACACACCTAGGATCTATCATTATTTATTTGATTTGTGTGTGTGTTGTTGTTGTTTTTAATTTTTTAATTTTAATTTTTTTACCTCATTAACTCCTTTTCTTCCTTCAAAACGATGAAATGAAGGAGTTCACCCCAAAAGAAAGAACAGGAAGAAACGAGAGCCAGAGACTTAACCAACACAGATATAAGCAAGATTTCTGAACCAGAATTTAGAATCAAGATAAGAATACTAGCTGGGGTTGAAAATAGTTTAGAATCCCTTTCTGTGGAGATAAAAGAAGTAAAAGCTAGTCAGGATGAAATTAAAAATACTATAACTGAGCTTCAATTTTGAATGGATGCCACGGAGGCAAGGATGCATCAGGCAGAGCAGCAAATCAACAATATAGAGGACAAACTTATGAAGCAGAAAAAAGAGTGAGACTAAAGCAAAAGAGCATGATTTAAGAATTAGAGAAATCAGTGACTCATTGAAAAGGAACAACATCAGAATCATAGTGGGGGGCGCCTGGGTGGCTTAGTCAGTTGAGCGTCCGACTTTCGCTCGGGTCATGATCTCGCGGTTTGTGGGTTCGAGCCCCACGTCGGGCTCTGTGCTGACTGCCAGCTCAGAGCCTGGAGCCTGTTTTGGTCTGTGACTCCCTCTCTCTCTGACCCTTCCCTGCTCATGCTGTCTCTCTCTCTCCTAGAAATCAATAAAAATATTTAAAAAAAAAAAAGAATCATAGGGGTCTCAGAAAAGGAAAAGACAGTAAAAGGAACAGAAGGGTTATGTGAGTAAATAATAACCAAAAATTTTCCTAACTTGGGGAAAGACACAGACATCAAAATCCAGGAAGCACAGAGGACTCCCATTAGATTCAACAAAATCCGACCATTAACAAGGCATATAATGGTCAAATTCACAAAATACTCAGGCAAGGAAAGAATCATGAAAGCAGCAAGGGAAAAAAAAGTCCTTAACCTACAAGGGAAGAGGCATAAGGTTTGCAGCAGACCTATCCACAGAAACTTGGCAGGCCAGAAAGGAGTGGCAGGATATATTCAATGTGTTGAATCTGAAAAATATGCAGCCAAGAATTCTTTATCCAGGAAGGCTATCATTCAGAATAGAAAGAGAGATAAAAATTTTCCCAGACAAACAAAATTAAACAAGTTTGTGACACTAAATCAGCCTTGCAAGAAATTTTAAGGGGGACTCTCTTGGGGGTGGGGGGCATGAAATAAATAAATAAATAAAGACCAAAAGCAACAGTGCTCACTTCAGCAGCACATATACTACAATTGGAACGATACAGAGAAGATTAGCACGGTCCCTGCGCAAGGGATGACATGCAAATTCGTGAAGCGTTCCATATTTTTAAAAAGAACTCCTGTACAGAGCTTGTACTTTGTCCATTTTATAGATGGAAACCATCCTCGAAAATTGTTTAACTTAAATAAAGAGAAGATACTTTATAGATTAAAAAAAAAAAAAGCAACAAAGACTAGAAAGGACCAGAGAACACCACTAGACACTCCAACTCTACAAGAAACATAATGGCAATAAATTCATATCTTTCAGTACTCACTCTAAACATCAATGGATAAATGCTTCAATCAAAACACATAGGCTAACAGAATGGATAAAAAACCAAGATCCACCTATATGCTGTTTACAAGCGACCCACTTTAGACCTAAAGACACCTTTTGATTGAAAGTAGGGGGATAGAAAACCATCTATCATACTAATGGTGAACAAGAGAAACCAGACTAGCCATACTTATATCAAACAATCTAGATTTTAAAATAAAGACTGTAACAAGAGATGAAGAAAGGCATTATATCATAACTAAGGGGTCTATCCTTCAAGAAGATCTAACAATTATAAACATTTATGCCCCAAAGGTGAAACACCCAAATTCATAAATCAATTAATCACAAACTTAAAGAAACTCATTGATAATAATACCTTAACCATATGGGACCTCAATACCCCACTTACAGCAATGGACAGACTGTCTAACAGAAAACCAACAAGGAAACAATGGCTTTGAATGACACACAGATGGACCAGATGGACTTAACAGATACTCAGAACATTTCATCCTGAAGCAGCAGAATGTACATTTCTTCTCCAGTGCATATGGAACGTTCTCCAGACCAGATCACATACTGGGCCACAGATTAGCCCTCAATAAGTACAAAAATATTGAGATCATACCATGCATATTTTTAGACCACAACACTATGAAACTCGAAATCAACCTCAAGAAAAAATTTGGAAAGGTAACAAATACTTAGAGACTAAAGAACATCCTACTAAATAATGAATGGGCTAACCAAGAAGTCAAGGAGGAAATTAAAAAATACACAGAAACCAATGAAAATGAGAACACCACACCCCAATACCTCTGGGATGCAGCAACGGTGGTCATAAGAGGGAAGCATATAGCAATCCGGGCCTTTCTAAAGAAGGAAGAAAGGTTTCAGATACACAACCTAAACTTACACCTTAAAGAGCTGGAAAAAGAACAACAAATAAAACCCAAACCAGCAGAAGTCAGGAAATAATAAAGATTAGAGCAGAAATCAATGCTATTGAAACAACAACAACAACAACAAACCCCAGTAGAACAGATCAATGAAAACAGAAGCTGGTTCGTTGAAAGAATTAACAAAATTGATAAACCCTTCGCCAATTTGATCAAAAAGAAAAAGCAAAGGACCCAAATAAATAAAATTAAGAATGAAAGAGGAGAGATTACAACCAACACAGCAGAAATAAAAACAATAATAAGAGACTATTAGGTAAAAAAAAAAAAAAAAAAATTAAAAAGATTTTAAAAAGGGGCATCTGGGTGGCTCAGTCGGTTAAGCACCTGACTTCAGCTCAGGTCATGTTCTCACGGTTCGTGGGTTTGAGCCCCACATCGGGCTCTGTGCTGACAGCTCGCTCAGAGCCTGGAGGCTGTTTCAGATTCTGTGTCTTCCTCTCTCTCTGACCCTCCCCTGCTCACGTTGTCTCTCTCTCTCTCAGAAATAAATAAAGATTAAAAAAAAAAAACAGAGAATATTATGAGCAACTATATGCCAATAAAATGGGCAATCTGGAAGAATGGACAAATTCCTAGAAACATATAAACTATCGAAAATGAAACAGATGAAATAGAAAATTTGAACAGACCCATAACCAGTAAAGAAATCGAATTAGTAATTAAAAAATCTCCCAAAAAAACAAGAGTCCAGGGCTAGATGGTTTCCAGGGGAATTCTACCAAACATTTGAGTAAGAGTTAGCACCTATTCTCTTGAAGCTGTTCCCAAAAATAGAAATGGAAGGAAAACTTCCAAATTATTTCTATGAAGCCAGCATTACCTTGATTCCAAAACCAAAGACCCCACCAAAAAGGAGAACTATACACCAATTTCCCTGATAAACATGGATGCAAAAATCCTCAAGAAGATATTAGCCAACCAGATCCAATAATACATTAAAAAAATTATTCACCACGACCAAGTGGGATTTATACCTGGGATGCAGGGCCGGTTCAATATCTGCAAAACAATCAATGTGATTCATTACATCAATAAAAGAGGACAAGAACCATATGATCCTCTCAATAAATGCAGAGAAAGCATTTGACAAAACACAGCACCATTTCTTGATAAAAACCCTCAAGAAAGTAGAGATAGAAGGACCATACCTCGAGATCATAAAAGCTACATATGAAAGACCCAACACTAATATCATCCTCAATGGGGAAAAACTAAGAGCTTTCCACCTAAGGTCAGGACCAAGACAGAGATGTCCACTCTCACCTCTGTTATTCAACATAGTATTGGAAATCTTAGCCTCAGCAATCAAACAACACAAAGAAATAAAAGGCATCCAATCAGCCAAGAGGAGGTCAAACTTTCACTCTTCGCAGATGACATGATACTCTATATGGAAAACCCAAAAGATTCTACCAAAAAACTGTAGAACTGACCCATGAATTCAGTAAAGTTGCAGGATATAAAATCAATGCACAGAAATCTGTTGCTTTACTATACATCAACAATGAAGCAGCAGAAAGAGAAATCAAGGAATTGATCCCATTTACAACTGCACGAAAAACCATAAGATATCTAGGAATAAATCTAACCAAAGAGGTGAAAAATCTATACATTTTTCACTATAGAAAGTGAAACTATAGGAAGCTTATGAAGCAAATTGAAGAAGGCACCAAAAAAAAAAAAAAAAAAAAGGAAAAATAGTCCATGCTCTTGGATAGGAAGAAGAAATATTGTTAAAATGTCAATACTACCCAAAGCAATCTACATATTCAATGCAATCCCTATCAAAGTAACCCTAACATTCTTCATAGAGCTAGAACAAACAATCCTAAAATTTGTATGGAACCAGAAAAGACCCCCGAATAACCAAAGCAATCTTGAAAAAGAAAACCAAAGCTGCAGGCGTCACATTCCCAGACTTCAAGATGTATTACAAAGCCATAATCATCAACACAGCATGGTACTGGCACAAAAACAGACATTCAGATCTGTGGAACAGAATAGAGAACCCAGAAATGGACCCACAAACATATGGCCAACCCATCTTCTACAAAGCAGGAAAGAATATCCAAGGGAATAAAGACAGCGTCTTCAGCAAATGGTGCTGGAAAAACTGGACCTCAACATGCAAAAAAAAGAAACTGGGCCACTTTTTCACACCATACACAAAAATAAGCTCAAAACGGATGAAAGACCTAAACATAAGACGGGAAGTCATCAAAATCCTCTAGGAGAAAGCAGGCAAAAACCTCTTTGATCTTGGCCACAGCAACTTCTTACTCAACACATCTCCATAGGCAAGGGAAACAAAAGCAAAAATGAACTATTGGGACCTCATCAAAATAAAAATCTTCTGCGCAGCAAAGGAAACAATCAGCAAAACTAAAAGACAACCTACAGAATGGGAGAAGATATTTGCAAACGACATATCGGATAAAGGATTAGTATCCAAAATCTATAGAGAACTTATCAAACTCAACACCCTAAAGGTAAATCATTCAGTGAAGAAATGGGCAAAAGACATGAATAGACACTTCTCCAAAGAAGACATCCAGATGGCCAACTGACACATGAAAAAATGCTAAACATCACTCATCACTTGGGAAATACAAATCAAAACCACAGTGAGATACCACATCGCACTTGTCAGAATGGCTAATATTAACTCAGGCAACAACAGATGTTGGAGAGGATGCAGAGAAAGAGTATCTCTTTTGGACTACTGATGGCATGCAATCTGGTGCATCCACTTTGGAAAACAGTATGGAGGTTCCTCAAAAAATTAAAAATAGAACTACCCTACAACTTAGCAACTGCACTACTAGGTATTTACTCAAGGGATAGAGGTGTGCTATTTCACAGGGGCACATGCACCCCAATGCTTATAGCAGCGCTATCAACAATAGCCAAAGTATGGAAAGAGCCCAAATGTCCATGGATGGATGGATGAATGAATAAAGAAAATGTGGCATATATATATGATATAGATATAGATATAGATATACACACACATACGATGTCGTATTATTCAGCAATCAAAAAGAATGAAAACTGCATAGATGGAACTAGAGGGTATTACACTAAGCAAAATTAGCCAGTTGGAGACTGGCTTCACTCATATGAGGACTTTAAGACACAGAACAGATGAATATAAAGGAAGGGAAGCCAAAATAATATAAAAACAGGGAGGGGAACAAAACATAAGACACTCTTAAATATAGAGAACAAACAGAGGGTTACTGGAAGGGTTGTGGAAGGGGGGATGGGTTAAATGAGTAAGGGACATTAAGGACTCTACTTCTGAAACCATTATTGCACCATATGCTAACTAACTTGGATGTAAATTTAAAAAAATAAATTAAAAAAAAAAAACCAAGAAATTAAATACTCAGCAGCATAGCTAAGAGCAAACAGAAAAATAACTTTGGTTTCTAGCTCTTGTTCATCGGGTGAGCCAGGGCACATCTGACTGAGTTAGGGAGGGGTGAGCACTGAATTCCCAGTGGGTAGGGAGTGCAGGTGAAGGCCTGATGCTAGTGAGGGTCTTGCCCTTGTGTGAGGAAGGAGAGTCATATGCATATCCACCTGTTGCCTCAAACCAAGCAGGCTGAACCACGAGGCCGTCTCTTTTCTTTTGGAGTTTCCTGCCCTTAGCATAGTCTGTTTCTGTGGCCTGGGAAGTAAGGAGAGTCACAGAGAAACTAAATTTGGCACGTGGTTGCACCCAGAACTAACCTTATCCGGGGAAGATGAAGTCCCAGCTGGAAGGTGGTGAGTCTGAGGAGGGTGCATGGGATACAGGATCCTTAGCATTACTGGGGTACTGGGAAGACTCTAGTTGCAGTCTGTAGAGCAACTGCACATCTGCTGTAGTTCCTAGGCCAACCCTAACAATAGCTGGGGAACTTTTAACAAATAATCATGTCAAGGCCCTATCCTCACAAAATCCAACTTAATGGGTTGGACCCCAAACCAGTGAACGGTAAAAAGCTTCACAGGTGAGTCTAATATGCCAGCAGCTTAAGCATCCTACTTAGAAGTTCATTCCCAGGGTGCTAGGAAGCCTGAGACTTCCCCACATTCACATAGCACAAGTCCCTGGAATGTTAGGCTTGAAGGAAGGAGGTACCTGTGACAAGACACCTTGCTGCATTTGCTGACCCTTTGGGGTCCCAGTCCCCAAAGAAGTGCCCCCCATGATCGCAGTGGAGAAAAAGTGAAGGTTATGCAAAATGATTGATAGAAAATACACCTCTCCCAGTCCTGAGTGAACAATTTTTGGATAACAAAAAATTGCAAAAGCAAAATGATCAATTTTAGAAATACTGGTTTTGCCAGACTATATAAATTACATGTAACAACATCTGGCACTTATCCTGACTTAATTACGCAAGGAATATTTGTTTTAAGATTAAGCACGTAAGCCGGAAACAGCGGAGTGTACAATGGTATTCATCCTGTTATTCTAGCTACAGAAGATGCTCCCTATAGAGTGTTTTAACATCAGGGAAGCTGAAGGCCTACTGAGGGTAGAAGGCCTACTGGGGATGGGAGACAGGAAGGGAAAAATTGGGCTCGTCCGGGATTTGAACCCGGGACCTCTCGCACCCTAAGCGAGAATCATACCCCTAGACCAACGAGCCACACACACGTATGCTCTCATTTTTAAACTTTAGTAAAGAAAATTTTAGCCACGTCCACAGCTGGCCCTCAAATCCCTTCCTTACAATTATGGGCACGGGGTGACGCCTAGTGGATGAAGTGATCACTGCAGTCTCCCTCGCCCAAATTCCGGAAGGCGATGCCCCTTGACTACAGATCTTTTTCGGAAAAAAGCCTAGGCATCAACGACAATATTCCGGCACGTTTTAGCTTCCGAATGAGTCAAAAATGCTCTACGGGAATGGTGGGAGGCCATCGCATCAGGGACGGTCACGGGCTGCGGGTCGACCGCGGGGCCGTGGGAAGGGCCGCCCGCGGTCGGCGGGAGAGCGCGGCGGAAGGGAGGCTCCTTCCGGACTCTGCGCTCTGCGGTTGTTCCTGCGCCCGGACGTCTCCCACGGGGCGTGCTTTCCGGAAAACTTCTGCGTGGCGAGAGCAGCCTGCCGCCGGACGACCCCAGACTCCGCATCCTTCGCGGAGCGGCAGCTCCCGCGGTGTGACGCCCTCCCTGGGGGGAGGTCCGTGAGACCCGAGAGGGCCCCCGTTCTCCCTGGTGACCAGGCTGTGCCCGGCCCAGGGCAGGTGCTCCGAACCTCTAGACTTAACAGAGGTGGTCCTGTCTCTTGAGGACCACTCTTTTCACCAGTCTTAAATACCGCGGCTTAAAAGAAGAAAGAAAGCAAAACAAACCAGGAAGAAATGGGGGAAACCCGGGAAAACTACAAATCTGAGTCACAAGGGAAGGAGTGGAGAAGAGAGCGAAGGGTAGAGAACATGCTTCCGGATGCTTACTTGCCAGGTAGCGTGGCCGAGCGGTCTAAGGCGCTGGATTAAGGCTCCAGTCTCTTCGGGGGCGTGGGTTCGAATCCCAC